CTGCACTCCAGTCTAGGCGACAGAGTGAGACTCCAACTCAAAACAAAACAAAACAAAAAAACCAAAACAAAACAAAACAAAAAAAAGAATGAAGTACTGATACATACTATAAAAGAATGAAATGTTGATACATACTATGGATTGATTTTGAAAGAAACCAGTTACAAAAGACCATATATTGTATAATTCAATTTATATAAAAGGTTCAGAACAGGCAAAACCTATACAGATAGAAAATAGATTAATGGTTATTATGACTAGGGGAATGGAGGCATAGGAGGCAATGAATACAGGGTACTGAGCTTCTTTCTGAGGTAATAAAGATAGTTAAAATTGATTATGGTTGTACATATCTGTGAATATACTGAAAACCATTTAATTGAACACTTTAAATGGGTTTGGGTATGTAAATTATATCTCAACAAAGCTGTATTTTAAAAAAGGCTAGTAGAGATATTTCATTAGAAGAAATCTGGTTTAAATCAGAATTATCATTCTGCCTTTTAAAAAACTACCATTAGGAGAAGAGGCTGGAGAGGAGAGGAATCATACATCTAAAATTAGAATCCCTAGCTTAGAAAAATTCCACATCAAATATCCATAAAGGAAATCATGGGAATAAAGCTTTCTGTAAACAAAACTCCCTGCCTATCTAGTTCATGGCCCTTCGACTAATAAATAATTTATAGAATAGGGTCTTTCTTCAAATCATAAAGTTATTTATTTTATATTGTATTATGTCTCACATTGCTAATATAGTACAAATCTAGAAAAGGCAGTGAATAGATTTTTTTTTTTTTACACAAGAGGAGGGTAACCAAGAATGAGTTGAATTAAAAAGCATCTAAATTAAGGTCTTAGAATACTAAAATAAATAGGATGGCTCCATTCACAAGGACCTCAAATCCTAATGGGTAAAAGTGAGCAAAAGAGACCTTTGTAGAATAATGTGATTTGAGCTACAATAAGGGAAAGCAGAAGGGGGAGTGAATATAAGAAGAAATGCTACCTGAGCTGCATGTTAAAAGTAAGAGCTGGCCAGGGAAGAAGAGCAATCAACCTATCCCAACAGAGAGGATCTAAGCAAAAGCAGGAGAGAGAGGCAGCTTGGCATGAAATTGCTGGAGTATGAAGTGCGAGAAGTGGTGACAGAGAAAGAAGCTGAATAGGAAGTCAGGAGTTGATCACGAGGGACCTTCCAAGTCACACCAAGTAAGGTGTGGGTTCCTGCAGGCAGTGGGGAGTCCTGCAGGGGTACGATATGATCCCTCATAGCACTAACTTCCAAGAATCTCTGATCCCATGGACCATTTACATCATAGTTACTAATTTCATCGATTCCTCCCTCCTTCCTTCTCTCTCTCTTTCTCTCTCTCTCTCTCTCTCACACACACACACACACAAAATCACATTACACCAGGGTTAGAATCCCTATTTCTTCACTCTCAATTCAAGATTCTCCTTGGATAATATATCTCTTTGATAATTATCTCTTTGATAATGTTAATAGAGAGACTTTAAATATATTGCTTCTTTAAAGAATCTACAAAAACTAAAATACAATCCAACTGCCATCCCACTAATCTTGTTCTGGACTTACAGGTATTGTGCAGCTGTCTGAATCTCGGGATGTAAATCCAACATTGCCTAAGTGAAGGATGCTGGCAAGTATTCGGAAAATTCCCATCTGATAAGATTCACTAATTCCTGAAACAATACAGTACACGAACAAGTGATTAGTTTCATAACAGCAATTAAACAATTATAGCAATTTTAAGCCTGTTGTCAATTCTTGAATATTGCCAGATACTATGTACATTATAATTTCTCATAGCTAACAACACTTTCATCTTTGTTGACATTAGCACATTAGTCATCCACTACCATGGGTGACAGCAAGGCTGTTGAGGGTGACCAACCTGGTCTTAAGGCCTGACTCTGCTACTGATCTATTATCTCACATGGACTGTACTCATCTATGCTTTCGTTTTCTCATTTGAGATCTGGAAATAACAGTGCCTACTTCAAAGGGTGTGAACATTAAATGAGATAATGCACACAGCATACTTAACATACTATGTGACACATGTTAAATGCCAAAAAAAGATTGTCATTATTCATACACTGAATTTAAGTATTTTATTAACATTATTACTATTCCTATTTATCTCTACTCCAAATGCAAGCTATAGCCCAATAAAGCTGTTTTTAACTCAGATTATTTAATTACTTGTCCTAACTACAGACTACATATAAGTCAAGTAGACACCACGATTAGACATGTTTAGGCTGATGTGTGTGTCCAAATACAGCATTAGAGCAGGATCAAAAGGATACGGTGGCATGAGAAAAGCTAGACAGCTTTTGTCTTTCATCAGATCTGGTTTCATTTTTTAGTAAGGTAAGAATTTCCAGAATATTAGACATAATTATCTAATTACAGGAGTAGTAAATGATTTCCAAATATGTAATCTTATACAGGTTAACTGAGGGTTAACCCTATAATGAATGTTTTTGCCATTTCCTGCATTTGGCTTTTTCAAATTCACAATTTACTATTTACAAACAGATTTTGCATTAGAAGTAATGCCGTGTTTTTCAAACTTCAATATGCATATAAATCACCAGTAGATCTTGCAAAATGCAGTTTCTGACTCAGTAAGTGTGAGAAGGGCTCTGAGATTATGCATTTCTAGCAAGCTCCACAGTGGTCTGTTTCACACTGTGATTAACAATGTTTTTTAGCCGGGCTCGGTGGCTCAGCCTGTAATCCCGCGCCTTTGGGAGGCTGAGGTGAGTGGATTGCCTGTAGCCCACGGGTTCGAGAACCGCCTGGGCAGGTGAGACCTCATCTCTACAATAAAATCAAAAAAATTAGCCTGGCGTGGTAGCGTGCACCTGTAATTCTGGCTACTCGGAAGGGCTGAGGTGGAGGGATCGCCCGAGCCCAGCAGGTCGAGGCTGCGGTGGCTGGGAGCGGCCACTGCACTTCAGTCTGGGCGACAGAGTGCGACTCCAACTCAAAAACAAACAAACAATGTTTTTAAATTAAATTAACTCACCTGGGGATACTACTCAACATACCAACATATAATTTTAGACTTATTTATACTGTGAAGTGTTTTTAAAAAATAATTTGCCTCTAAAAGTTGTAGACTACAGTTCTAAAGATTAATTTATTCACATGTAGATCCAACATTTTTTAAATCTCAGAAACAAGATAGTGACAACTGATAGTGACAAGATAGTGACAACAGAGCTGCTTCAAGTATGTTGGAAAAAGCTACATGTAATACAAAGTTCAGTCACATATCTCAGTCACAAAAAAACCCCAAAACAAAATAAAATAAAAACCCAAAACCCCCATACAAATGTGACCTTTTACAGGATCCATTATTTAGCTTTTAGATTTCAGATTTTGTAAATGTTTAAGTAGTGAATTACAGTTAGTTCTACCTAATATATTATATGTTAATATATTAATATCAAAAACAGCTCTATTCAAGGCCAATTTGTATACCATAAAAGTCACCCATTTTAAGTGTGAAATTCAATAATTTTTAGTAAATTTACAAAGTTTTGCAACCATTACCACAATCTAATTTTAGAACTGTTCCATTGCCCCAAAATGAAATCTTGTGCCAATTTGCTGTCTAAATGTGTCCTATAAGGAATGTTGAATCTCCCGGCAATACTCACCACTTATACAAAGCCAAGCCAATATTCTAAAAAAAGGTTGCTTAAGTCAAAAAGCTATTCCTCATAAGAATTCAAGAATAAAATGACATTACCTAGCAAGGTGCAGGCCTGCCTAGTGTGTACCATCTCCTTTGCATCATCCACTCCTTCAATCACAGGACTACCTCCTTGCTTCGTGTAAAGAAAGTCATTTGCATTTCCTGCAATGAAAAAAAGTTAAAAGTTTTTCAGTCTATGAAAAAGCATTAACACTTATGTCCCCTCTGAATTAGAAGCAGTGATAGCACAGTTAAATGTACAGGGTCTAGAGTTTGACTGCTTGTGGTGTCAACAATATTTTAATATAAAACTTAAAATTAAATAGTGAAGCGAAATGTTTATAGTTTATCTTAACTGGTAAAACAAATAGTCCTTTCCTAAAGGTTTTATTCCAATCTACATGCTAAGATAATTTTCTCAAATACTTCCTGTATTACAAACCCTACAGACCTTTTTTCTTTTAATCAAGGCAAATTTCAAACATATACAAAAGTAGAGAGACTAATATAATTAACCCCTATGTATTCATCACCCATCTTAGATAAGATCTTAAACACACAACTTAAATCATCTCAAGGCTAATTCTGTTCCACTTACACAACTAATCACTGCTTTATTTTATCCAGAAGTATTTCAGTATGACATAAGCTCCTTTTTTTACAAGTTTAGTAACTCAAAAATTAACAGAAAACAATACCAGCACAATAAGTCTAACACCATATTCATACCTAATCGTAGCATTTTAAATTCAGGTAAATTTGCAGAGGCACAAAGCTGATAGAAGATATGATAGTTTCGTTCCTCTTCTGCCTTTGAAATAACAAGAGTTTCAATTACAGCATTTTAATCTAAAGTTCAGAAAATTCTATCAAAAAATAAGATCTTAATATTACTCAGTTGGTAAAATAAATTGTCTTTTTCCAAATTTTCTAATAGTTATGATTAAGACTCATGATTTATAGTTTATACGCACATGTGTATGTATGCGATAGTCACACTCAACAATATTGGATAGTAATACTTTTTGAACTTGTGAACAACTTGATATATGAGCATAACCATAAAATATCAGTGCTTTGGGGGGAAGTTAAAACCATTATTTTTTGTAATAATCAAAACTATTTTCTAATGGTATCTCTTAGATTCATGGTCTTCCTAACACTTTGACTGGAAAAGAATAAAACCGTCTTTGCCATATTTTGGGGTGGACCCAAACTGTGGTTGTTTGCAAGTAATCCACAAATGCCAGCCTGGGCAACATAGTGAGACCACATCGCTACAAAAAAAGGAAAAAATTAGCTGGGCATGGAGGCACACACCTGTAGACTCTTATTCAAAAAATTAAAAAATACACAAATGCATGCCATCATTTATAGCATTTTAGTTTATAATTTTTAAAATTAATAACTATTTTATAAAATAGAAGATAAATCATGTATAACTCTAAAGTAATTTTTAGTATTTCTTGAGTTTTTTCCACATATACATGTTAAAAATAATTCAGTTACAATAACATTGTTCACAAGAAACTGAATCTTAATATTCTATCATCATATCTTTGAATTCTGCAGCATATTCAGGTGGTTAAAGAATAATATTAAGGTCAAAGTCAGGTTTGATGTCCAAAGGGGCCTGATGTCTGATAAAGGAAACCTAATATAGGTACAGAAGACACTGAACAAATTACCAATATACCAAAGATCACAAGCATAATTAGACAAGAGATCAGGCAGTTCAGCACACAGACACTAGAAAAACAGGTAATTCTGCAGAAATGTTTTGGTCATCTTTGAACAATATCAAGTATGCTTTTTCTGTGTGATTCATTTTGACATACCAAACATCCTCAATATTCTACAGCCCTAAGGACTGTGAAACAGCTAGAATTGCTTCAATGTCTCTAAACAAAAGGACAATAAGGATTAGTCTTTACCATTCTGTATTAAGCAGTACTGGTCTCTGGTACCATACTGAACTGGGACTATCTTTCCTACCCACTTACTCATTTATCTATCAATCAAATCTTTACTATTTGAATTCTATCTTCCCTTTTATTTTAAGTTCAGGGGATACATGTACAGGTTTGTTACACGCATATATTGTGTGATGGTAAAGTTTGGGCTTCTGTTGAACCCATCACCCAAATAGTGAATATGGTACCCAGTATGTAGTTTTTCAATCCTACCCCACTCCTCTCCTCTTTAGCAGTACCCAGTATCTGCTGTTCTCATCTTTATGTCCATGTGTACTCAGTGTTTAGTTATCATTTATAAGTAAGAACATACAGTGTTCGGTTTTCTGTTTCTGCATCAATTTCCTTAGAGTAATAGCCTCTAGTTGCATCCATCTTGCTGCAAAAGACACGATCTTATTTTTTTAATGGTTGCATCGTATTCCACAGTGTACATATACTACATTTTCCTTATCCAATACACTATTGATGGGCATCTAGGTTGATTCCATATCTCTGCTATTGTGAACAGTACTGTGATAAACATATAAGTGCAGGTGTCGTTTTGGTAGAACAATTATGTTCCTTGGGGTATATACCCAGTAGTAGGATTGCTGGGTTGAGTGTTAATTCTATTTTTAACTTTTAGAGAAATCTCCAAACTGCTTTCCACAGGGGCTGAACACTGGTTTCATTCTCATCAACAGTGTATGCACACTCTCTTTTCTCTGCAACCTCACCAACATTTGTTTTGGGTTTTGGGGTTTTTTTTGACTTTTCAAGATTAGCCATTCTGATTGGTATGAGATGGTATCTCACTGGGGTTTTGATTTGCATTTCTCTAATGATTAGTGATATTGAACATTTTTTAATATGTTTGTTGGCCACTTGTATGTCTTCTTTTGAGACGTGTCTGTTCACATCCTTTGTCCACTTTTTAATTAGGTTATTTTTTTTTCTTGTCAGCTATCTTCTTTTAAATTTACCTATTTCTCAACTATTGTTTCTTCTGGCTACTAAACTAGATTTTTTAAAAAACCTAAATAAAATCTGTGTGTGTAGTAACACTGCTGAATGTACCTACATATTAGAACAATGGAGGGGAGTGACTATCGCCTTACTATACAAATCAAGTATTATATTTTAGGTAGACATAAATCATGCACAAGCCCAAAGTTAAAACCAGGGTACTGCAGGCTTCCCAAATTCATGACCCTTAGTATGTCCTAGATATTTTTAAAGCCATGTCAGACTTGGGCAATGGAACTTGTGGACCCTGCTCTATGGGCAGTGCGAGGGGTATTTGAATCTCAGTGCAGTGGACATGCAGTAAAGGAGCTACTGAAGTGGGAAACTACCAGGGGAGGGAGGAGGGCACACCTCATCAATGAGGGTACCTGGTCTCAAACCAGGTAAAGTAGAGACAAAAGTGAGGCCCAAACTTTACCTATACAATGATCGTTTGTATACCTAATCCTGACTTGTACCCCACATCTTTAAAATAAAAAAAAAAAAATTGCTCACTAACAAACAAAAAAAGGAGATCCTGAACACAGATCTCAGAGCATGAGGCATGCAGAGTCAACAGTAGCCCTATACTGGGAGTGTGTGACAAATCCACACTCCCTTAGTAGCCCTGTAAATATGTCAATGTATGTCTGCCAGTGATATAAACATATAGTATTTCCCAATTTCCTATTTTAAAAAAAAGAACCAAAAGCATATGTGTGAATGCAAACCCTGCACAGATGCATCAATTTCTCTCTCGCTCTGTGTGTGTGTGTGTGTGTGTCTGTACGTTTGCGTGTGTGTGTGTGTGTGTGTGTGTGTGTGTGTGTTTAAATTTAGAGACAGGGTCTCACTATGTTACAAAGGGTGGTCTTGAACTTCTGAGCTCAAGTGATTCTACTGCCTTGGTCTCCCAAAGTGATGTGATTACAGGTGTGAGCCACTGCACCCAGCTTCAAATTGTGTCTCTTGATAGTAGTTCACAACTGGTTTGTGAAGATTTTTTTTTAACTATCCCACCTAAACAATACTTTTTTTACTATCCTAAGATTTTTTTTTTACTATCCTACCTATACAGTAACATATTTTAAGAGAGAAGAAGGAAGGGGAGAGGAACAGGATTTTTTTTCTTAAACTGAATTCAAATTGTAACTCATTAAAGGCATAGACCAATGACTTCTCTATTATTTGGAACTACGAGACAAGACTACACCGCTAGCACCTCTGCTTAACTGTACTCTTCTACAAGTATTTGTATGAAAAAAATGTCAAAATCATTAAGTGTAAAATTTCCCAGTCCCAACGACTATTTACAGAGTACTCCCCTGCCTCTACCATTTTACATGCTTCGGTCCAAGTGTGGTTTGTAGTGATATTCTCATAAAATGCTCAAGAGTACCTAAAAATAAAATGCACACCAGCAAGCATGAGCTCTGCAATTATACAGCAATCAAACACAAGTACATAGGTGTATATGCCTAGCTTACCTGGAACACCACTCTGGATTTCTCTAAAAGATAAGTTCTCATATTGGCACCAATGATTCGATATCTCTTATCAAAACCAATCTCGATATACTTCCCAAAACGACTGCTGTTATCATTCCTGGTTGTTTTAGCATTTCCAATTGACTAAGAAGCAAGAAAGAAAATAAGATTTTAGAAGTGCAACTCATAACATGACATTTATAGATTTTTCTGAGAGAGAAAGGACAGAGTAGAACACAACTCCTTAAAACGGATTCATTTAAGAACAGAACTGCTTTTGCCCCTGCAGGAACAGGTGCATGCCTTGTTCACTGTACAGACACACAGATATATACTGTGTACTAATAGTTCTTATATGTCTTGTTATTCCCACAAAAATGATTTTTATACCCCATTTTGGGTATCTGAATATACTCATTCATGTTAGCAGAGAAAGAGAACAGATCAGATGGAAGCTGCCAGGGCACAAGCGTTCTTAGTTCAGCATTGAGGTTTTGATTTTTTTCTTGAATAACACCATCTGTTTTATGTAAATAAGATGGTTAAAATAAACTAATATTTTCCTGGAAATATTGCTCTGGTGTTAGGGCCTTTTTAGCTAGAAGTTTCTATCATCTTCTCTAGTCGCAACAAAGGTCTGGTTAGACTACTTATTAGCAGAGAATTAATATTACTCACTCAATGTAAAGACTATTTTCAGAAACCAGAGAAAGTCAAACTTGGCTTTGGAGTTTAATAGTTGTATCTAACTTGTAAAACATCTGCTACAGAATACAGAGAATGTAATGTACTGTTAAGTTGCTCATATAACCTTAAAAAATTATGGAAGACATATGTTAACCCTAACCCTAATGTAATACATATCTTCTTTCTGATTTAGGTAGCATGCTTCTACACATTTTTATATTAAGGTAAAACAACAACAAAAAAAGGTGTAGTTAGAAAATAGCAAGTGTTTACATAAAGGATATATTAGATGTTAAATAAGTTCATTTCACTAACATTTCACTTGTTCAAAGGCTTTGTTAGGATTAGTATATCAAAAGCACTGCAGAAAGAAAGACATGAAAATACTGTGTAATTTTAAAGGAGTGATACAAATATAGTGATAAAAACAGTAGTAACATAGCCTTAAAAGTCAACACATTCAATTCCTGATCAAAGAAATTGTATTTTCACTTTCTGAAACAGAGGGCAAATATTATTCTATTTTGTTTTGGCGATGAGGACACTGCTATCCTTTAGATTAACTTTTAAAAGGCTTTCCTACAAAAATAAGAATAAGAATATCATCTCAGAAAAGCTACAGAAGGATCCAACACAGCCTATAATAATTTAACTATCCAGACATTTACTCAGACATTACACTTCTTGATATTACAAAACTACAGAGCAAAACGTTTCCATACATTCCCACTATTTCTATTTTGTTTAGAAAGGATATTAATTATAAAGGCATAATTGTCTCTCAATATAACGTATTCTGTCAATGAGCAGAGGAAAGGTTACAGGCAGTAGAAAGAGCAGCAGCAATAATATTTATTGATTGCTCACTAGGCACTGCCCTAAGCACTGTCCTGCCCATAACTAAGCAAGTCGGGGAAGGTGAGTCCACTGCTCCTCCTCCTTCTACAACTTGTACTTCACCTTCTGTATGTCATCTTTCCCGCATCTACTCAGAATGGGAGTTAGAGTGGCTCACTTGCCAAAACAACACTAAGCACTGTGAGAAGAGGTGGGAAGCAGGCTAGGGTTGAAGCAGACCCTGTTGTCTTTGAATAATATTTAAACATAGACAAAGAATGATGGAAGGAATAAATGAAATAGAAATCTGAAGACCTGGGTATCAGACTAGGCTCTACTATCAGTGTGCCATCATTTAGTCTCTTTGAAGGGCATTAGTATCCTCAAGTATAAATTAACTAGAATGAATAAGCTTTAGGGTTCTTTTAAAAAATAAAGTTATATGATCCTAAGACATGAACGTGATAGAGAAAGAAGTCTGGATACATATACAGTACCTTTTATCCATTCTCCCAATTGTTCCTTCTGCCTTTAAAGTACTGTATTCATAAGACTCCCTGATATTATTTCCACTTTAACCAGCAAGAAATTATTAAAGGAAATAAGAAATACTGTGCTTGTGATTTTATTATTTTAATAAAATGTTGCATGAGTTACTCTTCTTTACTAAAAGGAGATGGAAATGTTCAATTGAGGTTATTGAAGATTAAAAAAAAGAACTAATAAGATCCAGAGTGCCCCAAGAAACTTCCCTATTCCCATTTTACAATGAAAATTTCCAGGAAAAATATAAACCGTGATAAAATAGAGCAGAAAGAATCATTTCTCTGTACATATTCATATTTTGCAGAAGAAATCTATGCTGAGGATGGGGAGCTTTCTTCTAAAGGATAATGTGTGAATCCCTTCGGCTACTGGGCTGTGATTTATCCAGGTAGGATGTTCATTATCCAACAAGGAATTTCAGCAGATCACTGGAGACCCAGACATCCTTTCCTGACATCACAGTAAAGGGCTCTGATACAGACAGTGTTGAAGCAGGTTTAAAGCTACACATTTTCTAGGCTACATATTCAATATTTTACCTATGTTTTCTTCTAGCAACTGTAAACCTTTTGTCACCATTCTTCAGCTTCATATTCCATTTTAGTCTTTCAAATACAGGTCCATTTTTGTAGTAGTTGAAAATTAGTTCTCTAATTCTTTATCAATTTTTTTCTTAATCCTAATTTCTGTAGACAGACTAAATAATAGTACAGAAGGAAGCAGCTAAGTATAGCTGATCCCTTTATCTTTTTTTGTTCATCTCAGCAAACAGAGCACATTCCTTGTAACTGCATATTAAAAATAATATCTGTGACTGCTACGGTTTGGATATGATTTGTTCCCACCAAAAATTCATGTTGACTTTTTTGTTTTTGAGTCGGAGTCTCACTCTGTCACAAAGGCTGGATGCAGGGGCACGCTCACAGTGACTGCAACCTTGACCTGCTGGGCTCAGGCAATCTCTCTGCCTCAGCCTTCCAAGTAGCTGGGACTATAGGTACACACCACCACACCTGGCAAATTTTTAAATTTATTGTAGAAACGAGGTCTCGCCATGTTGCCCAGGTTGGTCTCAAAACCCTGGACTCAGGCAATCCTCTTGCCTCTGCCTCCCAAAGTGCTGGGATTACAGGCATGAGCTATCACACCTGGCTCATGTTGAAACATGGAGCCAAGTGGGAGGTTTTTGGGTCCTTGGGCGATCCCTCATGAATGCCTTGGTAGAGTTCTTGCAGAGTGAGTTCTCCTTTTATGGAGACTAGATTAGTTCTTGGAAACGGATTTATTACCACTATAGTGTGTTTTTATTCATTCAGGAAGATGCTCAGATTTCTCCCCTCTTCGCCACCTTTTTTAAATCTTTTTTGCCATGTTATAACACAGTATGAGAAGCCCTCAACAGAAGCCTAATGGATGTCAGTGCCATACTTTCATACAGCCTGCAGAAACATGAACTAAATAAATCTCTTTTCTTTATAAATTACCCAGCCTCAGGCATTCTGTTACAGCAACATGAAATGGACTAAGACAGTGATCATTCAAATTTTTAGTATCATGCCTAGTAAAACAACTCAAACCTGTGTTACAGAAAAATCAATGAAGCTGTTTGGTTTTTTGAAAGAGGTTATAAAATAGTTCATTCAACTTTTGAAAAATTCTAGAAGTTTCATTTCAGACTTAAGTTATCCTTGAGACAACTTTGAATCCCAGTATAATACGGCCCAGGCCTAGAAAAAATGGGATTCCCTAATGCCATCACAATCAAGACTTTGGGATAGTCTAACATTAGGGACTAGAATGGCCTGAACTGTTGCCAAATACCAAAAATTTGTTGTCATGATCAAAAGCAGTCAAAACAATGCTAGGAAGAAGAGAAAGTTCTGTTGTTTTCTGATCTCAAACCCCAAACTGGCTCTATAGATTCTATTTCCCCAATATTAACACCAGTTGCATCCACCACTATATCTGTAGCTTAAATTATTTCAAAATCTTAATATTTGCTTGAAATCTTCACTGTTCTCTTTTGGCACAAACACCTGTTTCTTCCTGTCCATATTATTTCAGAAAATTTTTCCAGTTTTTTTCTCTATTGCATAACCAGCCCAGGAGGCCTCTCTCAACTCTCCCATTATATTGTGTCTTTCGATCCCAAGAATCAAAGTCCTGCTGCTCTAGAGGCAGCCTTGTAGACAAGGGGTCATGACATTCTGTTTTAAAGTGTCACACACACAGATCACTGCAAACCAGGCACAATTACCTCCAGACAGACTATTGCAAAAACCACTTGTACCACAGGTGCATGAGGCCAGTTTTAACTCCATCTGCTTTGGGATGACAAATAAGGCTTGACAAAGAAAAAAGATAGGAATAAAACAATGCTGATTTGAATTTTTAACAAGAAGGGTTTGTTTCTACATGTCCAGACTGATACCTCTCCAATTAATGAAACTTATTTTTCTCTATTTAGTGGGTCTTCATACAAAACTATAACTTTCTGAAAATTGTATTACTAGACAAATAGTCCTCCAGCTACATATCTTAAAATACTCAAATTCTCACATTAGCTCCATTTTATTTGGCATAGGCATTTCTACTTTGTATATGTTGCATTAGATTTATTTTTTTATTTTTTATTTTTTTATAATCAATATTTTTTATTATGATGTTGTGAGGTACAGTTAAGGGTTAGGTATACACATACGTTTCATTCAGGCACCCTATTGATAAGAGGTGCTTCCCCATCCCCAGAAAGATATTTGCTCATTAATCCCATCTCCCTCCCCCCTCATAGTTTCCCACTACTGTCAGTCATTTTCTTATAGTATTAGGTTGGATGTT